CCCCCACTCCACCATCACCACCACCACCACACACACTCCACCACCACACACACTCCCACCACCACCATCACCACCAGCAGTGCTCACACCCCCACCCCACTATCACCACCACCAGGGCCTACACTCCCACCCCATCATCAGCACCCCCACACACACTCTCACCTTTATCACTGGGAGCATAGCACCACCTCAGTGAAGACTTGAGGACTAAACAGTCCTTTTACCTCTTCCTCAATGAGGACCATAACCTCCAGAGCTGCAGGCCAGACACATAACATCCCCGTTCACAATGTCTGGAACCACCAGGGAGGAGCTTTGCTGGCGGCCACTTGGCAAGTCAGGGCAGATGGGGCTTGCACGTGAGCTGCAGAGGCAGAAATGTGCTGAGCGGGCCGGGCTTTGACTCTCAGGGAGAAGCTGGAGGCGGTCAGCTAAAGTCACTCACAGTCAATGAGTCGTTTCTCAAAGGAGGAGCTAAGACATCTTCAAGTCTGCCTTGGAAGCCCGAGCAGGAACCTTCAGGATGGGCAAGCAGTGTTTTCTGGCTGCTGGGAGTCTCTTGGCTGGTAAGGAGGCAATATGGGTCAAGTTGACCTGGGGACCCTGTCCAGGGTCATCCTTCCCTCATGATAAACACAGCAGGTCTGGCTTCTCTTAGCTTCCTGTGAGTCCTCAGGCAGGGGAGGGATTCCCACTTCAGTGCCTTGGTCCTTGGCTTTGTGAGGACAGTCACTGCCCTTCAGTTTTGCCCACTAGATGCACCTGGCATAGAACAGGTACCCCAGGGGGCTCAATGCATACAGTATGTATATGTGGTATCTACATAATTCTAGATAGTCATACACCACACACACACACACACACGCATGCACGCGTGTGCACTCCAGTCCTGCCCTCAAAAGCATTGTGTGTTCTGAAATATGCTACGCTAATCACTTTGTTCTATTATGGAGAGCCCAGCAACATATACTAGCTTCCTTGAGGAAAGCCATCTAACCAGAGGATCCAGGGCTGCAGGCTTGGGGACAGCATTGTCCTGGGAACTCTCCAGGCTGAGGAGGCTGTCTGTGGGGATGGACTCTCCAGTGGATGGGAGGGGGAGAGGAGGATCGCTGAGTTGTGACCCTTAATTCTCCCAGCATTCTTCCTAGGAGGCAGGATGGGATAGCTCGCATCTCCGGTGGGCTAACAACAGATAGAAGATGACTTTCCTGAGGGTAGTTCAGTGGTTTGGCGCCAGAGCTTGATTCTCCTCAGGTTTCCCAGTCAAGAAGGCAGCAGAAAGGGCAGGGAGGGGCAGGCACCTGTCTGAGGGGCCATGGGGTGATCTTACCCCCAAGGCAGCTGGAAGAACAGGCCTTTTCTGGTTTGCAGCTTACCTGGTGGTCTCGACCTCTGCCTTGTTCATTCGGCCTCTAAAAAATCCCACCTGGTCTTCCTCGGCTGCCGATGCATCTTCTGGGCAAGGAGGGAGCAAGAGAGACCTTGGATCAGTGAACTCGGTGGCGGTGTGGGCTACTGAAGCCCCAGCCTCCCCTGCGTGGGCAGGAAGGCTTCCCTCAGAGGCATCTAAGGACCACAAACTCAGAATCCTTTCCCTAATCTTGAACCCCATCTCGAACAAACTTGTCCTTTTGGGGACTCCTGGGGCTTCAGGCAGAGCTACATCTGTACCAGCAACAACAGCACATGCCAGGACTAAAGCTCACAGGACGCCCGGGTCCCAGCCAGCATCCTCTGTGGAGGCTCACAGGACCCTCGGGTCCCAGCCAGTGTCCTCTGTGAAAACCCACTGGACCCCCAGGTCCCAGCCAGCATCCTCCGTGGGGACTCACAGGACCCCCGGGTCCCAGCCAGCATCCTCTGTGGGGACTCAAAGGACCCCCAGGTCCCAGCCAGCATCCTCTGTAGAGACTCATAGGACCCCAAGGTCCCAGCCAGCATCCTCTGTGAAAACCCACTGGACCCCCGGGTCCCAGCCAGCGTCCTCTGTAGAAGCTTACAGGATCCCTGAGTCCCAGCCAGCTTCCTCTGTGGAAGCACACAGGACCCCCAAGTCCCAGCCATCATTCTTTGTGGAAACCCTGGGGACCCCCAGTTCCCAGCCAGTGTCCCCTGTGGAAGCCCATGGAACCCCCAAGTCTCAGCCAGTGTCCTCTGTGAGAGCTTCCAGGACTTCCAGTTCCCAGCCAGTGTCCTCTGTAGAAGCCCATGGAAGCCCCGAATCCCAGCCAGTGTCCTCCGTGGAAGCCCATGGAAGCCCCGAATCCCAGCCAGTGTCCTCCGTGGAAGCCCATAGAAGCCCCGAATCCCAGCCAGTGTCCTCCGTGGAAGCCCATGGAACCCCCGAATCCCAGCCAGTGTCCTCCGTGGAAGCCCATGGAAGCCCCAGGTCCCAGCCAGTGTCCTCCGTGGAAGCCCATGGAAGCCCCAGGTCCCAGCCAGTGTCCTCCGTGGAAGCCCATGGAAGCCCCGAATCCCAGCCAGCATCCTCCATGGAAGCCCATGGAAGCCCCGGGTCCCAGCCAGCATCCTCTGTGGCCGGGCCTGGGCCTAGTGGTGTTTTAACACCTACATTTCCCTCAACAGCACCATCTTCAGACATGTCATCACTATCGTCACCGTCACTGCCACTGTCCTTACCCCCGCTCTCCTCCCCATCTCCAGCACCACACCCGTCACTGCCTTCATCATTGCTGTCCCCCCTCACACCAGCTTCTTCATTCTCCTCTCACATACCGTTTCCGCCCTTGTCACTACCAAGACTGTCACCACCTTCCTCACTGATGTCGTCACTGACGTCAGCTCCATCCTCCTCTTCATCACCCTCATCTCCATCTTTGCTACGGTTCCCATCACCTTCCCTGTGGCCACCACAATCACCTTCAGCGCCACCATCCCAAGGCCTGATAACAGAGCCAGCTGCCTCTCAGGGGACAGTCCAGGCAAGGCCAGTGCTCCCTCCCCGCCCAGTCCCCACAGCTGTCATCCTCAGCCTTGCCTCTGCCCCCGCTAATGCTAGTTCCTTGTGGGAACCAAAGTCCTCTATTCTTAGGGGTGCTGGCCCTGGACAGGCCATCTCACCCCAGGTCTCAGCATCTTCCTCCCCTGGACCCCATCATGTGTTCCACTCCCTGGATTTCAGAATCACCGGAGAGGCCTTCTCAGCTGCGCTCATGGATCCCACCTCCCGGAAGTACCAGCTGCTGAGTAAGAAGGTCCGAGACCAGGTGAGGTGGTTGGTGGACACTACTGACCCCAATATATACACTTACTCCTTTCTGAGCACCCCAGGCCCTGTCACGTTTCTGTGCTTTGTGTATGCTGTTCTTCACCTTGGGCCACTTGGGGGGCTGAGGACTTCCCTGATGACTCAGCCCCTGCCCCTGCAGAGTCAGCCTCCCCCGGCCAGCCAGTTGTCTTTTGCTCTGTCCTGGGGATGCCTACCATAAGGGACCTCTGGTGGTGCCGTCCATAGAGAGTTATACTGCTAATCTAAAGGTTTGAACTCCGGCAGTCCAAATCCATCAGCAGATGCAGAAGCAAGATGGACCATCTCCTTCCATACAAGCTCTGAAAACCCACTGGAGGGTCAACTGAGTCAGTTCTGACTCAGTAGCAATGAGCTTTCTGCAATCACAGCCCCTTAGATCATTAGCTCCCTGAGGGCAGCTGAGTCCAGCGGAGGCCAAGTCTTCAAGTCTCCTGAGTGTGGAAGGGAGGAACAGAGGCAGAAGCAACCATTCAATGCTTCTACCTGAGAGACGGTGCCTAGGAGATTGACCCCCAGCCCCTTGAGAAGAGTTCCTGGGTAGTATGAATAACAGTTCAGCTGCTAACTTAAACACTAGATGTTTTAGTGCCTAGAGGCACCTCGGAAGAAAGACTTGGCAATTCTGAAAAATCCACCATTGAAAAAACCCTTTGGAGCACAGTCATCTCTGACACAAGTGGGTCTGCCAGGGGTGGGGTCAACTCAATGGTGACTGGCTTCTCAGTGGCCTCTCAAGCTTCCAGCCAGAAGGAAGAAGCCAGGAAGAAATCTATCTGGGGAGTGCATGTGGAGAAGAAAGGCTTCGGAGGGTGAAGCCCTTGTCCCCCAGGGTCCAAGAGGAGATTCTTGATATGTGACTGGGTGGTGTTTTTCTCTGTACAAAGCATTGCTAGGGACCAACAAGCCTTCACCTCCTGGCAAAATGTGGCAGCAGGCAGACTTCCTGCCACCAAAACTTAGCAGAAGAGAGGCTCTGGCCAGCACACCCCGTGAGCACACCACCTGAGTCTGTCCATTTGTTCATTCATTCTTCCCTCCCAATTGCTTTCCAACTATACAAGTACAAGGCTTGTGCTAAGTGCTCTGGTACCAACAAATCCCAAACCACTACCACTAAGTCAGTTCCAACTCTTAGTGATCCTGGAGGACAGAGGAGCTGCCCCACAGGGCTGATGAGACTGTAAATATTTACAGAAGCAGATGGCCTCATCTCTCTCTCCCAAAGTGCAGCTGGAGGATCCGGACCACTGGCCTGTGATTGAATGACTAAACCACAGCATCACTGGGGCTCTTTGGTATCCTACAGGGAGCAAAAATGAGCGAAGTTCCTGCCCTCAGGGAGCCTGCAGTCTGAAGGAGGAGACAGGCAGATCAAGCAAAGGGAAAAGAAGACATACAGAGGGGATGGAATAAGGACTGAATGTAGACTGTAGGCGGAAACTTGGAGGTTTACTCAGAGAAAGGGGCACGGGGACAAAGGAGAGGAAGGAGGAGCCAGGCAGGAGGGAGGAGCTTTCTAGGTAAAGGGAGAAGTATATGCAAGGGCCTGAGATGGAAAGGGGGTTGGAGGAGGCCCAGGGGCAAAAGTGAGTGGGGCTGTGTGTAGGGTAGACTGCGGGGGGTGGGGGTAAGGAAGACCAGGTAGAAGGAACAGGCCACCATTTAGGTGAAAATGGTTCAAGTCTAGACTCAGATGGTGGTTGTGAGAGGACGTCAAAAAGTCAAACTCATTGCCATGGAGTGAGAACCCACCGGTAGCTGACCGTCCAGCGGTTTTTCAGAGGCTATAAATAGCATAGGAAGAGGGTGTCCATTCTCCCCCCATAGAGCCAATGATGGATTTGAACCACCTGCCTTAGGGGTTGGCTGAGCACCTCCTCACACACCAGACCACCAGAGCTCCCTATGGGATTCAGAACAAAACAGCAACTGGAGAGAGATTTCTGAGTGAGCAGGGCAGAGAAGGGAAACGGAGGAGGTCTGCAAGGTTGCCTTTCCCTGGCCAATGGGAAAGCACACTCGCTCCTGCTCTTCGTTCAGCAGTGACTGGCAGGTGGTCTCTGGCTGCTGAGTGGAGAAAGGCATGCATGGAGCTGCACTCAAGGGCCAGGCCAGTCAATGGAGGGTGGATGAGGCAGGTGGTGGGCTGCGGGGGGTGGGGGTGTCAGGGTAGGAAGGACTATATTGAAAAGAGTGCTGGGGCGCTTTATGAGGCCCTTACTTGCTTCTGCCTCTTCAGCTGGAACCTGTCTATCACAATGCCTTCCCCAGCTTTGAGGGTGTCGAAGCCCTGGTCTTGAGGTGAGTGAGCGCAGTTGGTGCCCAGGGTCTGGGACTTGCCAGAGACTCTGCTCTCGGAGAGCTTTCGTCCAGCCCACCCAGCTCTGCCTTGTCCCCATCATGTCCAGGAGCACCTAGAGGGCAGAAAGAGTACTGGATGACAGGCAGGTGGCCCACGTTTGGTTCTACCTCTAGCTGTGCTGTGTGACCTCCAGTGACCATGTGCCTGCCCTGAGTCTCTGTTGTGGCTGCAGGATTTGACCAGGAGTGCCAGGCATTGTCTGAGGACAGTGGAGAAGGAAGGGGTAGTAACAACAGCTGGGCACCTTCCTTGGGGACAGGGACATGTAAATGACATGTAAATGATGCAAATATCCTTGGATGGTTCCTTTCTGGCTCTAAATCTCTATGGGAAGAAGATGATACAGGAGATTGGGGTGTGTGGGGGGGGTAGGTGGGGGTTGTGGAAAGCCCTGTGGTTTCATGAGAAAGGTTGAGGTCCAAATCACTGCAGCCCCACTTGAACTGTGAGCTCAGTGTGGACCCTGAGTCCTATAGACAAATCCTTCCAAGTGCATAGACTTAAATGCTGATGTGCTCCCAGTGATGAGGTACTCACTATCTTGTCAGGCCTTTGTCCCCAACTGGTTAGAAAGCTATCCCTTTGAAGGAACTGATATCTCCCTCTATGACTTCCTTGATCTGGAGCTAAGCAGGGAAGTTTTGTCTCCTCAAACGGAAATAAAACAGCACAAAGCAGACAAGAGGGAAGGCAAAGGAAAGTGATTTTGAATCTTGAGCCCATTTGTTTCCAAGTGTTTCTCCTCAGTCTCTTTCAGCCACCAGCAGCAGTCACTTTTTCCAGCTCCCATGGGCTGGCAGGAATTCCCCCAGCCCATCACCACCCTCTCTCCACAGCCCCTGCTCCTTGTGATACAGCCAAGGATATTTTTTGTAGTCCTAGTCCAGGATGACTTTCAGAAACAACCAGCTGCAGCCTGGCTGAGAAACCCCTACTCCATACTTAGCCTGGGGAGCACTTCCAGTGTCTCCATTAGAGCCGATTATTGGGTGTCTGCAGGAATTCACTTTAACCAAGAGCCTCTCTGTGCACTACCTACCAGCTGTGTCATTCAGTCCTCACACAATCCTCTAGGAAAGGGTCATGACCTTCATTTCACCAAGGAGGGAGCTGAGGCCCTGAGTGATGACTGACTTGCCCTTTTCATTCCCACCATGCAGTCTATGGCTTCCTCAGGCCTGCAGGGCCTCTGGTGTCTTAGTTGTTTAGTGCTGCTGTAATATAAGTACCACAAATAGATGGCTTTAACAAGTGAAAATGTATCCTCTTGTAGTTTAGGAGTCCAAGTTCAGGAGCTGGCTCTAGGGGAAGGCCTTCACTTTTGGTTCTGGAGCAAGGTCCTTGTTTCCTCAGTATCTGCAGGCCAGGTGTTCCTTAGAGGCCTGTGTCTTGGCCTTGCCTGGTGTCAGGATCTTCCGAGCAGGGCCAAGTCCTAAGGGACGCACTCCACTTGGTGATTACTTCTTGGTGGTGCTGTGGTCATCCACTTGTAGCTTGCTTGCTTGCCTTCATTTTTTTTTAATAGATTTTTATTTTATTCTTTTTTTTAATTGTATTTTTACATGTATCATCAAATCAGATCTGACTGGTACAGGGCTTGCCTCCATTTTTAACTCTACACAACTCCCCTTATTTGATTAGGACAGTGATGGGATGAAGGGGTGTTAAATTTCACCTTTAACCCTTTACCACTATTTTATTTATCAGATCATGGGGGAATCATTACAAAGCTTCCATATTAAATCATTACACACATGTATTTTTTGGGGGACCAATTCAATCTATGACATTTGGTGAGGACACAGCTTTGTCCACAGGTCCAGCTCTGTGCGTAGGTCCAAGTCTGTGGCTGTGGCTGCCTCCCTTGTGTTTGGAGGCCAGAGCCCCAGCCCCACATCCTGCCAAGTCCTCTGGACTCTGTACTGCAAGGTGAAGGCTTCAAGGCAGATGCTGGGGACGCTGTCCGTGGCTGAGGGCAGCCTGGCCTCTGATGGTGAGGAGCCCACTCTCTGCACTTTACCGTAAGGTCTCTCTGCCTGCCCACAGGTCCACTCCTGCCCTGAAGCAGGTCGTGGTGGTTGGGGATGTCTCTGATACCTCCTGAACCCCAACCTTGACTCTGCAGGATTAAATATGACTCATTTGGCCCTGGAGACAATCAGAATCCATTTCACAGTTATGCGGCCCTTCCTGTCCCAGCTCAGTGAGCCTGATTCAACTCCTTTTGTCCAGCTGGAAGAGCAGACCCTCCAACAGGTGAGATGGTCTGTCCCTCTTAGGCCTGGATGCTCACTCCCCTTGATCGCAGATACCCGATGGACTCGGAATCAGGGTGAATGGCATTCCATGGGCAGAAATCAACCTATAGGTTGAGGAGCTCTGGTGGCCTAGTGGCAAGAAGTTGCACTGCAATCCCGAAGGCACATGGTTCAAGGCTACCAGCTGTTCCATGGGAGAAAGATGGACAATCTCCTCCCATGCAATTAACTGCCTATGCAACCACTAGAGGGTCAGTTATGGGTCAGTTCCAACTTGATAAGGACTCCTCTGAGGGAGGACACTGCATTGCCCCAGCAAGTTTTCTGTCCCAGGGGAGCAAAGGCCAGGATCTGTAATCTTCTCTGAATGCAGGAATCCAGATATACTCTATGTAGGGCTCAACATTTAAGGTGGTTCTCACCTTCAGGGTTGTGCAAGTGAGGGGACAGCACCTGAGGGTGAGTGCCTCCTTAAATACTGAGCCCTAGACACCCGGATTGCCTCACCTTAGTACTGATCCTGAAGTCCCTCCTTTCCCTTCCCCTTCCCTCCATGCTGAGCCTCAGGAGAACCTGCCCAGCCTGACCTCCAGGGCTATCTGCAGGTCACACCAGTGGTGGAAAAATTCTACAAGGTGCACCCTCAGGAGAGGCCCCTGCTCCTCTTCAGGTGGGTCAGTTTCTCCTTTCTGCCCTCCCAGCCTGCCCTGCTCCTCCCTGTGGGGTGGCCCAGCAGGAGAAAGGGGGCTCCATTTATTACCCAAGGCTACAGCATGAAGCAGACATATATTTGGGACTGCCCAGGGGAGGCCTTTGTTCCACATGAAGCTCTCGCCCAGGAAGTGGGGTGGGGGAAGCCTCACGCATCTGAGGGTGTGCAAACTTTGGGGGCCAAAGCCTTTTCTAGGAACGTGCTGGTTAGTACCTGAAACCAGCCCTCTCCTCCTGTACCTGCCATAGTAATGTAGACCAGTGGGTGGACGTTCACATCGAATACAAGTTCCCGGCTCCTGTTCCAACCCACAACCAAGGCCTGGCCGATTATCTAGCCCAGAATGTGCTGGACCCCACCCTCCAGATATCCAGCCTCATGGCCAATGGTGAGTCAGGGCTGGGATCCTAGTGTGCCTTTAGGTCAACAGCTTATTACACTGTCTAGGCCTCAATGTTCCCATCTGGGAAATGGGCACAATTCCATTTTGACAACAAATACTTTTGTGCTGGGGCCACAGAGAGAAACTAGGCATAGAGGCTTACATGGGAAGCTGAATGGAAATGAGAAAGAGAGCTGAGAGTCACACCATTGGCCAGTCACATTTTTTTAATTTGTGTGTGTGTAGTGTCAAATCACATCTGACTGGTACAGGAGGAGATTGTCCCTTCTTCTCCAGCAGAGCATCTGGTGCATTTGAACCGTGAACCTCTAGCATTGCAGTGCAGCTTCTTGCCAGTAAGCCACCAGAGCTTGCCAAATCCAGTCACATTCTTACTGCCCAGGCTTTCATTTGACCCGCACATAAGTGACAAGATCTGCCCCATCAAGCCAGAGGGGACTGGCATTTAGCTTAGTCCAGAAAGCCAGACTCAGTCTCTGAATTGGGAAGCCCCAAGAAGATAAGAATTACACAAGTTTGTGCAACTCCAAAAGGGGGGGGGGGTGTGGGAATAAGTTCCTAACATCCTTGTTCGGACTGTTCTGAGTCCAAATGGTCCCCTTTGCTTCCTGCTGTCCTTGCCTGGAGCTGTTTGGAGGAGCTTCCACATTGCATATTGGTTCAGCGTGGCCCTGTAAACTCTCCAGGGGTTAGTGCTGCCCTCTGGTGGACTCTCCTGATGGAGCCAGCAGGCTCCCAACACGCCCAGAGTTGAAACTTTGGGCCACCATCCTCTCTGCAGGCTAGAATCATTGTCCTCTTCATTTCCCCAGGAAACCAGCCCCTAAAGGGCAGCTTTCCCTTTTCACTCTCAAAGCACAAGGGCTGACCACGTCTCTTCTGCAGACAATAGAATTTCCGCTCATTCTCTCATCAAAGGCTCCACTGCTCAGGTCACCAGCCCCTGCTGTCACCCTTCACCACCACCCAGGAGCAATTAATCTCACAACAGAGCAGGGACAAAACCAAGACTGTGCAAGTTTAATTGTCAGCAGGATCACCTGCTCTCCGAGCGAGCACCTTACAGCTGAAATTAGTAAACATTTCCGTAAAGAACCAGAAAGGAAAAACCTGAGACTCTGCTCGACTCTGACCTTGTGGCCCCAGAGCTGACACAGACAATGTGTGCACAGGTGAGCTACATTCCAATGAACTATGTTGTTGTTGTGTGCTGGGGAGTCAGAACCGACCCAGAGCTGTCCCTCCAGCGGGTTTTCAGAGGCAGAAAATCACATGAGTGGACACTGTCCATCCTTTCATGGATCAGCTGGTAGATTCAAACCACGTGTTTCTGTGACTGCAGCGCAGCTTCTTACCGCGAGGCCACCAGAGCACCACAATTAATATATCATAGAATTTACACAAGACATGTTGTTGTTGTTATGTGCCGTCGAGTCACTTGCGACCCATAGCAACCCTATGTACAACAGCCCTAAACTCTGCTCTGTCTTGTGCCAATCGCACTGTCTCTGACACTCCCATCCTGATTATCCCAGTCACTGAATCAATCCACCTCATAGAGGGCCTTCCCCTCCTGCGCCGTCCCTCCACCCTCCCAAGCATGATGTCTTTCTCCAAGGTCCGGTCTCTCCTTACAACATGTCCAAAGTATGTCAGACGAAACCTCAGAATCCTTGCCTCCAAGGAGCAGGCCAGTTTAACCCTCTCCAGGATGAATCTGTTTGTTTTCCTAGCAGTCCATGGTACTCTCAATACTCTTCTCCAGCACCACAACTCAAAGGCATCAATTCTCCTTCTATTCTCCTTGGTCATTGTCCAACTCTCTGATGCATAACAAGTGATTGCAAAGACCATGGCCTGTATCAGACGCACCTTAGTCTCCAGAGAGACACCATTGCTCTTCAGTACTTTGAAGAGGTCCCTAACCGCAGACTTTCCCATGGCAATACGCCTTTTAATTTCCTGGCTATTGGTGCCAAGAGTGTTGACGGTGGAGCCAAGCAAACTAAAGCTGTGAACAATCTCAATCTCTTCACCATCCATCCTGGTGCTGCCAATTGGCATGGTGGTGAGATTCTTTGTCTTCTTGACATTGAGCCTCAATCCATATTGGAGACTGCAGTCCTTGACCCTCTGCAGCAGGTGCTTCAGGTCCTCTTCAGTTTCAGCAAGCAGGGTTGTGTCATCTGCATAATGCAGATTGTTGATAAATCGTCCACCAATCCTGACCCCACATTTCTCCTCATAGAGCCCAGCCTCCTGGATAATTTGTTCTGCATATAGATTGAAAAGGTATGGAGACAGGATGCATCCCTGGCGTATGCCCTTCCCAATTTTGAACCATGCAGTGTTCCCTTCCTCTGTTCTGATGACTGCCTCCTGGTCCAAGTATAGGTTTCACATTAGAACGATCAAGTGTTCTGGGATTCCCATTCTTCTCAGAGTCAGCCACAGTTTGTTATGATCCACGCATTAAATGCCTTTGCATAATCAATGAAACACAGATAGACATTCTTCTGGTATTCCCTGCTTTCAGCTAAGATCCATCTAACATCAGCTATAATATCCCTAGGACCACGATCCAGCCTGGACTTCTGGTAGTTCTCTGCACAAAACATACTTTAAAAAAATATTTTTCAGCCATTTAAAATGCAAAATCTACTCTTAGGGAGTGATGCCAATTTGGCCCCTACACTAAATCATGTGGGTCATCCGGATTAGAACTAATGTTAAGTTTGGGGGTGCAGGCCTAGGGTAGGTTGATGCCAACTTTTCCCTCTTACAATCCTAGGGGAAAAGGCCCAGTTGGTGCTGTATGAACTGCGGCTGCAGATCCTGGACCAACCTTTCACCAAGGCCTTGAAGGACAAAGCCAGCGCTGAGTCGCAGCAGCTGCGGGAGCGGCTGACGAGAGGGGTGAAGTGGTGGGGTGGAGGGGAAGGGAGCTTCAGGGGTGGCCGGGTTAAATCTCAGGAGCACCGTGACCACTCCATGCTTCCCTGACCCCTAGCTGACTGCCGCCCTCAGACATCTGCAGAACATGAGCCAAGTGGTGGTGGAGGAGTTCCAGTGAGTCTGCGGTGGTTCTGGGACGCCAGGGAGGCACAGGGCTGGACTCTGGGGAGGGGAAGGGAGGCAGTCTCTGGGATGGGAAGCTGGAGGAGGTGACCTCAACTAGTGTCCCCAGGCTTCCCAGCCCCTGAGGCCCCTGGTGATCCTCCTGCCAGGCTAGATCCGCTGACTGCCAGAGTGGGTGCCACCTTCTTCAGGGCTGCACCGGCGGAGGCCCTCGTGCACGACTGCGTGCGCCAGGGTCTGCTCAGCCTGCGGGAGGCCGAGGGCCTCTCAGTGAAGCTGGTCGTCCCAGACCTCGGTCAGTGGCTCTCTGCCTCCTCCCTCACACATGCTGCCTTGATGCTAGGCTCACCCTGCTTCTGAAACCTGCTCTCCTTTCTCCTGGACCCTTGCCCCCGCTGACTGCCCTTGAGGTCCCAGCTCTGGCCCTGCCTCCTCCTGGAGGCCCCTCAAGGTTGCCCTGGCTCGCTCGGCTGCTCTGTTCCCGAAGCACCTTCTGAGCCTGGGAGTTTTCTGTGAGCCTAGCTGTGTCTGCTTAGAGGCCTGATTTGTGGCTTATGGCCTTGGGAGGATGGGGACCCACCTCAACCATGGTCTTCCTGCTCTCTGTCTAGTCACCCCCAGCTCTGGAGTCTCAGCTCAACCCAGCACCTCCATCCCCATCTATATTGTGGCTCTCCTGGTGCTGAACCTTCTGTTCTTCATACTGGCCCTTATCCTGGTGAGCATCTAGCTGGGCTGAGGCTCCTTCCTGGGGTCCTGACTTTCTAAGTCAGACTACTGTGTCAGCAGGTCCCTTACCACTTCCTCATTCCTGAGCCCATTGTCACCAGCCTCCTACTGGGCTGGGGGGTTTCCAATCAAGGGCTTGCCTGCCCCCAGGTGCTGAAGAGAAGGGCCTGCTGCAGGGTGTTCTGCCCTGGGCGTCTGAGGCCTCCCTCCCAGAGAAGTGCTCCTTAGTGAAGGGGACCTTCTCCAGAGTGGTAGGTACTGTCAGCTGCCCTGACCACCTGGGGCACTCTGACTTTGCATGCGGGGCGGCCCCCACCAAGTCAAGCCTTCTTGCAAATATTGCGAGGTAGAAAATGACGGCAGAGCTTTGGGGGAATAGGGAATCAGTTTGGTGGAAAGGATCACCCCTTTTGTCATGGGGTGTGACCCAGAAGTGGATGAGCAGAATCTTCTCAACAGGCCCCCAAATCCCCAGCTACCCTCCTTTTACCCCAAAAAATAGAATGAGAGGGAAGATTGGCTGAACTTGGGCTCCTACATGGCTGGAGGATAGAGAAGTGGGAAATGGGGAGGGGGTCTTGCTTCCCCAAACACAAGAGGACCTGGTCAGTGGTGCCCTGGGCCCTAGAAGAGATGGGACAAAGCAGGACCCAAGTGAAGGTTTTCTTTCATCTCTTGGACAATTGTTCCTCACTCTTGGATTTTATCCCCTTTTCTCTGCCCTGAGGTGATCCCTCCACTGCTGATTCCTCAAGTGAAACTCAAATCTGAACCCATCCCCCACCCCACTTGCCCCCAAGCTTTTTGTAGACAGGGCCTCAACTCTGTGAAGTGGATCTTGGACTCTGGTAACCCTGACTCTACCAGGAGACCAGACCAGCGAGAGTAAGACACTAACCTAAGGTCACACAGCAAGAAGAAATGTATTCTGCCAGGACATTCAAGGACTGGACTCTTGGGTCTGGAACAGAGATTGGGAAAAGGAGGAAAAAATGCTTGTTAACCATCTGGGAAGACAGGCTGAACTTTGACCCCACGTCTTTTAGCCCCCAAGGTGCATAAAGTCTGGGAAAACCCTTGTTACTACTGTTTCTGTGCTCAGTTGGGCCGGGCCCTGTTCAAAGTGCTTTCCATGCTCACATAACAATCCACCATGCCAGTTAGTCAGGCGAACTTGACCATGGGGACACAGACCGAGAGCCTGCCAGCACTGACAACTAGAAAGTGAATGGCAGGAGGGGATTTAGTTCCAGGTGTGTTTCCTGTAGTCTCTGCTTCTCCTCTGCCCCAGGTACTTCCTTCTCCATCAGTGATAGAGGCCACACCTGGGGAGGAAGGAGGAGAACACAGGGCTCTCACGTGAAGCACAGAGGGGAACAGTCACTGGGGGCACCGGCAAGGGTTACTGCCCACACACCTACGTGTCTGCACAGATGGAAGTCTCAGGCCAGGCCCGAAGACTGCCTAACATTGTGACCACCTCTCTCTTTTCATGCTTACAACTGGTCATTTGTTAAACTGAACAGTCAGTTCTCTCTGAGACGGTTCTAATGTATGGTGACCTTAGAGTAGAATTGTGCTCCTTGGGGTCCCCAGTCGCTGTGATGGTTTGGAAGCAGCCTGCCAAGGCTTTCGTCCAAGGTACCTCTGCATAGATTTGAACTGGCAACCTTTCTGTTCGTAACTGAATGCTTAACCACTTGCACCATCTGGGGACCTCAAGCACTAGTTAACCAAACTGTTCCTGGTTCTGACTCATAACAACCTCTATCGGGCTTCGGAGGCTGTAAATCTTTACAGGAAATGATTGCCCATCTTTCTCCCATGAATGAATGGTAGATTCAAACTGCCAACCTTTTGGTTAGTAGCCTGGTACATCTTGCACTACATCGCAGGCTCTCTGTAACATGCTGTTGTTGCATACCATAAAGTCGGATCCAACCCATAGCTGACCCTCTGGGGGATTTTCAGAGGCAGTTGATCCCATGGGAGATTGTCCATCCCATCCTTCCCCTGCAGAGCAGCAGCTGGCAGATTCAAACCCCGTACCTTCAGGATTGTAGAATAGAATCTTACCACTAGGTCACCAGGGTTTCCTCCCTGTAACATAGATAACATAGATGCTATTAATTCCTTTTTACAGTTGGGAATATCAGGCACAAAAGTGAAAGTACTTGCCTATGGCCACAAAGTGACAGAGTTGGGGCTCAAAGCCCAGCAGTCAGAGGAAAGCAGCACCCATGGTGGGGACTTTGCTAGAACACAAGGAGTGAATGAATGGGGAGGGGAGCAACTCTGGTGTGGTCCTGTGTTTTGGAAGAGATCCTGGCCAGCCCAGCCCAGCCAAGGCTGCAATGGGGCCTGAGGGCCCTCCAGTCCCCTGAGGTTCCACTCCCCACCCCAGACCCTCCCTGGAAACCTTGAACCAGCACCTGCAGGAGGCCCCAGAAGGGGTTCAGTGTACTCTGCACATGGGGAGGAGGAGTCCACACAGGTGGACATGCTGGAGGATAGGGGCTCCTGCTTCCAAACACCTTGGGTTGGGGAAGCAGCTCTCTTCTTTCCCCCACCTCTGCACCTCCTTGGGTTCTAGCAGGACAGAGGGGAATACCTAACACAAAATCATTGCCACCAGAGTAGACAGACTGACGGGGCTCCTGGAGCAGGTGCTAGCCAGCGGGGAGCCCCTGACGTGGTCCCCACCCTATAGTATGTGACATCCTACTCTATGGTATCTAAACTTCAGGCCAGGGCGGAAGTCAGACACCATCTGGGGGCAAGAGATATACACAGCCCACCCAGGTGGTCCTGGGCCTTTGGACAAGCTGCTCAGCTGAGTCCTGACAGTCTCTGCTTAAGGGTAGGACCAGACCTGGATGGCTCGGACGTGCCTCTGTGATAGGAGTGGCCCAAACCTGCTGCTCAGAGCTCTGAAGCTGGGAGCCTGACCAGTGAACGTGTGGGAGGAGACTGTCATCTGTTGAGTCCAAGGTCCCTCTCATACAAGTGGGCTCCAGAAAAAGGGGTGAGGACACCCAGGCACTCATTCCAGATGGCTGAGGCCTCCTGAGGTAGTCGCCTTGACTCCTGGGTGAGTTGAGGGTCTCAGCAATCAGGAGGGGAGAGCAAGGTCCCTGAAGGAATGCCTGACTAGGTAGTAACAGGAACTGTGAATATCAACTCCTGCTTTCCACTTTATCCTGGCCAGGTGTCAAGCAGTGTCTTTTTAGGAGAAACAGCCCGGGGGTCATTGTTCTTCTTTCTCTGCCCAGGGACTCATGTGCCAGGTTAGAGAAGGGCCACCAATCAGAGAGAAGGGATCATGTTCTGAAGCTGAAGGCTGGACATGAGAAGGCTGATCTGAGGCCTGGGCATGGGTTGTCTAGCAGTCAGGGGCCTTGGCAGGCCCCGAGCTCTCCATGGATAGAGACTGTGCCCTGGGGCTCATGGTACTAGATTCCTGAGAGGTGCCTGGAAAGAGACTACACTGCAATTAGTGCTGCTGGGTTCAGTGTGAGGTTTAGGACCCACAATGTATATGTAAGTGGAAACATGAGGGAATGAGGCTCCCTGATGGGCCTGCATGGGGAGTAAGCCTAGCCTCAATTCATCTAGGGAGGACTCCCCATCATCCCTGAGGAATTCTGAGGCCAAGCTGCTGGGGGCTTGGGGCTTAAGATGCCGATGAGACCAGGAGAGGGAGCAGCAGAGAAGCTGGCCTCAGATGACAGGCAGTGGTGTCTGAGGGCCCAAGACACTCACAGGTTAGGAAGTGGGTGCCAAACTGGGTCCCCAGAAGCTGCACACCTGGATGCCTGCTATAAAGGACAGCAGCTTTGGAGAAGCACCAGGCAGATCCGCCAGGAACCAGTTCCTGCCTGGAGGAGGTGGAGAGGGCTGGGGGAGGCATGACTTCTAGAAGCGGGTGTCCAGATAGGTTCAAAGCCACCTGTGTGGCTGTGAAGGCCGGACAGTACCTTGGTTTGCCCACACTCAGGGGGCTGCTGAAGAAGAGAAAGGCAGGGAGTCTTGGGTCTGTTCAGGAACCCAGGCCTTCTCAGTTAGGGACCATCTCCAGGGTCTCCATGCTTGTCATGGCAGATGGACACTAAGGCCTGGCTGAGGCTTCAGCAGACAGCACCCCAAGTTTCTGGGATTGAAAAGAAGCGGCTGCAGAGCTTGGGAGCCCAGGCTCTGAACTGTGGGCTGAAGAGAAGTTTAGGGACACAGAGATAGAAGGAGGGGTCTGACAGGGCCCCATTATCCCTATCAGAGGAGTGGGGTCTGAATTCAGCAGCTTGTAGGGAGAGGGGAAGACTATCCCGTGAGGGCAAGTGACTTAGGAGAGCCCTCAGTTAACCCTTCCCAGAGGCTCATGGTTGGTACCCCTTTCCCAGGTTCTCACTGCCCTGGGGAGACTCAGGGATATGGGAGTTTGGTCCCTCAAGGAGTGAGTTAGGGGTGTAGGATACAGCAACACCAGAGGGGTCTGGGGCTGGGGGCTCTGTGCAGGGTGGTGCAGACAGCACCATCAACTGAGGGGCTGGAACTTCTGGTTAAAATCCCCACAGAGGAGTCCCCCACTTGTCTGCTAGCTTCAGTCCATTTCAGGGCCTCACGTCTGGCTGGAGGGGGAGACAACTGCTTCTTCCTCTGTTCTAGGGCCACTCTCCTTTTTGGAAACAAAGAGGGCCTGGAAGTGTCACAATGACTCTGGTCTGGGACTCCTCCTTGGAGGGCCTCAGGGGTTAGGGCTGACCAGGGAAGAGGTCAGAGGACAACCACCAGCAGCAAGGCCCAAAGCCCACTGGCAGGAGCGATCAGGTGGCTTTCCTCACCCATGTACCCACCCGTGGCTCTTCAGCCAGGTTTGAAGGGGCCACTAGGGGCATCCTTCTCATCTCAGCAGGGAAGCTGTGGGGTGAAGGGAGGCACACTGAGTCAGGTCGGAGTGCCCCCTGCTCCCAGCATTTCCTGGGGGGACTCCTGTCATTTGGTGTG